ATTCATGATGGCTTTTCATAGCCGTTATGCACGCCCTTGACTCCAAATGAACCTACTCAGAGTTGATTAAACAACCTCACACCAGCTGCTGTAAAACCAAAATCTCAGAGTATCCGACCTAGATCAATTCAGAGTAGAGGATTTGACTCTGTGGTTCTTAAAACTGCTTTATTTAACTGACCTGTGGACTTTATAGTAAAGTTTAGAGAAGAAACCCAAAAGATGTTACACAGTCATTTGCAACGTCATACAGTATAGGGGACCTAATAATGACAAACATGTGGAGGATTGTGTTCTGAAGAAAACTCATCTTATAAAACCTTGTACTGAAATTATTTTTTTTGGCATAAAATGTAAGTGCACACCACATATTGTGAAAAAAGGCTCTCCATCCTACTATGGAGAAGCTGGTAATAATGGATAGGAAGATGAAGAGAGCCAAATACAGTTTTCTACTATTATTATTCTATTGGAAACTGCAAAAGATGTGAGACTTCAAAGAGTTCAAAGTGTTAATGCAGAGGACTGAATAAAAATCTACATCCCACTTTTCAGAGTTTCATTTTCACAATTATGTAGTTCTTTGTATTGGTCCTTCATGTAAAATCACAATACATTTAGTTTCTGGTTTTACCCTGACAAAAAGGGAAATGAGTTTAAGGTCCTTAACATTTTTTGCAAGGTTTCACTTGTATTTCCATAAAGGATTTTGTTTTTAATTGTTGTCATTTAATTATTGATAAATGCTTTGTTTTCTCTTCTTCATCCTATTGTTTTATTGTAGATTCTCCAGCCTGTGAGGGAGTGTGTGAAAAGTGTATGTACAGTCTGGAAATGAGTGAGGGAGAAGCAAAGCCAGCAGAAGTGTACCAAGGCCCGGAGCTTCAGTGTACAGTTGCTAGTTTGCTACCTGGTGCGACGTACAGCTTCCGACTAAGGGCAGCCAACGAGGCTGGGGTGAGAACTTTACTTGTTCAAGTTAAGAGCTAAGAAGAAAAAAAAAGGAATACAATTCTTGATTTTATGGAACTTTTTCTAATATCTATGCAGTATCCAAGGCAGGATGCTAGGGATTATTACAAGATGGTGATTAGCTTCATAATCAGAAAATATGAGCTATTTGATCATCTATTTTTGTAATTCAAAATAAGGAGCTAGTGCTGACAGTAGTTTTAAGATCTGTCATCTTTACAACCAAAAGCCTTTTTTTGTCATCAGTTCAGGTATTAGATTTGGTATACATGCTAATAGACATTTGCAAAGACTTGTCTTGAATTGTTGGGCTTTTTTCCAAGCTTGTCTCACATAAGTGTGAATTTCAGGAATGATTAGGAATGGTGACAAAAATGCTTTAAACGGTCAAATTTTTTATGCCTGAAATGGGAATCATTTTACCATTTTGTTACTAAAAAAATATAAAAGACACTACAATAATGGATCATAATGACACTACAATAATGGATCATGATGTTCATCAAAATCCTTTCTGCTGTCATATCCATATAGTTTGGACCGTATTCTGAGCCGACAGAGGTGACAACTGCAGCTGGACCTCCTGGTCAATGTGGGGCGCCGCTCATCACATTAATAAATAACACCTGTGTGAGGCTGAACTGGGAGGTGAGAAAAATACTAAGACATAAGCTGTTTAAGATGGACTAAACCAGATTTGAATGCAACAGAAATCTGAAATGAAACAACCAAAGGATTAGTTTCCATAAAATTTCAAAGGATGGTTGAAAATGTATTTTAATTTCTCGAATCATCATAAATTTTGCTTCATCTTCTATTTTTATCTGTTTTCTTAGATTCATATAAAAAAGTATATAAAGCTGCCATGCATAAAAATGTATCAAGAATGATCTATAGCTGCTTCCATCGTAATCAGCCTTTCTCTGTCTCACCTTAAAGACGGAAAAGTGCAAGATTGTTGTAGGGCGGCTACCTTAACTGTGCCCAAAGTGGAAGTAACGAATTAGAAACCCAACAGGATGAAATCATGTTTTTTTTACCTTTTAACTTATGTTTAATACAGTCTATACTCTTTTTTTCTCTTTTCACTTGGCATAGGAGGCTTATTTTATCCAATATTGGTCCATTTCTTTTCTAAAGAACAAGCACACTAATCGTTTCTTCTTAGTTTGCAACAGTCATTTATTTTCAATCTCTGAAATTGTAATTCTACACAACTGTGTGAGGAAAAAATATCAAACTGAGATCTTAACTTACATGGTTATTAGGCTATTCTGTGCTGTTTCCAAGTCTAAATCAACAAGATCAAATTTTAGGTTGTGGAATAAAATAATCAAAATGGCAATGTTAGAAAGTATGCTTTGTAAAGCCCATTTTGAAAAGTTAAGTGGAAGGAAAAAGTATGATTTCATAACTTCATATCCTTCACAGTAAATAGACATCCTTACAATTCTGTACTCACAAACCCTCCTTATTGATCTTAGATAATTTTGGTTTGCATGAAGGCAACTTTAAATAAATCTTTCTTTTTGAATTATCTAATAAGTGAATTTTAATATGCCAATTTATTTAGTAAATGCACTTGCTGAAATTGGAAAACAAACAATAATAGTGTTTATCACTGTTTTTTTTAAATTGGAAATCACTAACATTTTGTTTATATCTTTTGGTGTTTAAAAGCAAAAGGTTAATTTGACTTGAAAAATGAAACCACTCATAAAACACGTCAGATCTGAATAGGTTAATGTCGGGTTACCCTTGTTCCTAAGCTGTATTTCTCTGTGTTGCAGAGCCCTGAGGGTTCAGGGACGGACATCTCAGAGTATCGACTGGAGTGGGCGAAGGAGGACGAACCCATGGAGCTCATTTACTGTGGCTCCGCCGCACAGTGTGAACTGTCAGACCTGACACCTGCTACAGATTACTGCTGCAGGCTACAGGTAACAGGAAACGACTGCTTCACCTGAATGGATCTAGGCACACAACAGAAATACAAAGAGGCTGAGACAAATGAAAATGCAAAATCATAGAGGGAGCAACACAGAGGCTTCGTCTGGATACAATTACAGAAACCTGCACAGCATGAAAGGAGCTTCAAAGCCCCACACTAATACAGACAGGAGACTACAGATGATAACTGATTCAATTTGTACTACAATTTCTTAATCTGGCGCATAAATAAGCACAGTTTCTCTGTCTCTCTTGAGCCCGGTGAGTGTGTATTTATCTAACAAGCTCAAAACCCACACACATACACACAGACTTGCTCAGAAGCGACCCTCTGAAGCTTTGAATCCAATAACATCATGTTTTATGGCTCCTTTCTTTATTGGCTCATTTATAATGAAGGGACAACACAAGGTCAGCCGGCAGTCAGCATCACTGCTTGGGAGCTCGTATGATGTCTGTGTCAGTTTTTGCGCACTAACTTGTTCCACTCTCTGTTTCTCAATTGGACCTGTTGGAAAGAATCATGACAGACTCTAATTCCCATTATCTCATGTGGATTCTAATGTTCTGTCTTTATGTCAGTTAGAACTCATACATGAAATATCTCCTTTTTTAAAGCAGAAAATGTAAGAAATAAATAATTGGTAAATCATCAATCCCTTTCTTTTTAAAATCTGTTTTCTTGTTTGACGCTCAAAAAGACTTTTAAAAATTTTGTCATAAAGTGCTTGCAACTTTTTAAGTACTTTTAAAAGCAAACATTTATGTATTCGGCTTCCAAAAAAGCCCCAAAAATTCAGATTTTGTGTCATCAGTGCAAGTAACCCACTGTACTACAGAAGAGTAACTGTGTCCCCTACAGAGCTTGTGGCATATTATATTTACAAAAGCTTTATTTTTATTTTTTTATCTTTTCTGCCACTTTTCTTAAAATTGCACCACTAACGTTTCCATTTTTTTCCATTTGAAATGTGGATTTCTTTATTTATTTGTAGGTTTTAATTTGAGAACAAGTGAATAAAACTCATATCTTTTGTTTGGCAAATTTCATATACAAAATATAATCTAATTGTAAAACATTGACAAGAAAATATTTTAAAGCTCAAGAGATGTAAAAAATATCTGAAAAAACATACCTACTGTAGTGCCTCTAATGTGGGTGGATAATCTTAATCTCTGCAGAAATGTATAGAGTTGGTGTTACTTTGTCATTTATAACAACTTATAAAACATTCAAAGTAGAAAGGGTGTGCTATTTTCAACCATGTCTAATGATTCATTAAAAAAAGAAAACATTACTCAAGAATATCAACTAGAAGATAAGAAACCAGTGTAAAGAAACTGCTGGTGAATATAAATATGTATTATACAGCAATATAGTTACAATAAAGCTGTTTGTGTGATAATGTAATTCATCTTCAGGCTTCTAATTTCTAAAGCTAAAAATAAAACTTTATCCTCTTGTTTTTTGTACTTTACCTATGGTAGTAGCAAAATTGAAATGTAACTTTTGATAACTTTCCTTATCGATGCCATAATGAGCCCTTTCTCTCTCAAAGGGTTCCTGATAGATGTCCATCTCTTTCATCTTCCCATGCTTCTATGTCTCCCTCAGGCAGTGAACCAGGCTGGCGCTGGTCCATACAGCGACAGGGTGAGTTTCCGGACCCCGGCGACGCATCCTGACCAGGTCTCGACATTAACCCTCCAGGACCTCCCAACATCCTCGGATGCGGGTTATTCATCATCTACTTGCCTCCTCCTGAAGTGGGAGAAGCCAAACAGCAACGGTTCGGAGATCACTTCCTACATCATCACTGTAGATGACCAAACTGCCACTGTGGAATCGGGGACAAACCACCTTGTCACAGGCCTGAAGCCAGACACAGAATACCGGTAACAATTTTTTGCTGATTATTACACAGCAGGATAGTCTTAAGATCACATTCAGGAGTTACTTGAAAGTTCACAATGTGTTTTTAATATACAATCTGTCCATAACTTGAAAACAAAAAAATCATTCTGAGCGGTGGGAGCAGCAGAGCTCTTCCTCAGGTCCTTGCTGACCGGGCTACCCATCTTGTTCGGTACGGGGCGCTGTGCACATCGGCACTGTATTACATTGTAAGTGTGCCAGCGGGAAACTGGTTGAATTGACTGACTATCTGACTATCGGGACATACTGAACGACCACACAATGACCAAAACAGTGGCAGAGCTACTGAGAGAGGCCACTGCTGCTTTAGAGCAAGTGCCTTCTTCTAACAAACCTGTGGCAACGCCAACTGCTCCTGAGTTTCCCGACTACATGTTTTTTTCCCTTTTTGTCCATATTTTTAATGTTTAAAGCCAGTTGCAAGGAAAATAGTTTGGAAGCATCAATAGATTGGTCATCTTGTTACACCTGGATGTTATTGCATGCATACAAACGATTGTGATGGCAGTTCTTAGAACTGCAATTTTATTTTTAAAGAAAAAATGCTCTAATGTTGTGGGGAACAGCGAAGAGGCAGGATGATCACACACCCCACTGTTTTTACTCGGAGGTTGTTTTTGTCCCCATTTACCGCCTATCTCTTGCATAAGGGCTGCTGCTGAGCCTGAACACAGAGCATGTGTTTATTTCAGGCTGAGTGGTGTACCTGTGAGTTGTTTTCTGGAGGCCTAAATGGTAACTCTAGTTGTTATAGACACCGAGTGTCTGTAGTTGCTTCATGTTTTATTTGTATGGCCTTGTGAAGCAACACAATACGTGTTTTTCTGACTATTGTGGGGCTCTCCTTTGACCCTATTATATTTAAGGCTCTGTTTTTTTATTTTCCCAATCAAACATCAGGGTTTTCCATGATAAAATACTACATGTGACTTTCATTATCAATCAGATTTACACCTATTAAGCAGAGACAAGCAAATAGCTCCACTGTTTAGACGATTGTGTTATTTCATTAGGAATGCAATTAAAAATGAAGGAATTAAAACACTGATTACCTAATCTAACCTAAAGAAAAGAATTTTTACAGTCCATATTAGCATGGGACATCCTTAAAAAATAAACAGTATTTTTAAATTGGATACATGAAACATTCATAATAGTGGATTAACACTAGATATTTGTAATGATGGTGGAAGCAAGGTTTGTAGGTTATGAAGCCGGACAAATAGTTCTGTTTTTATCCAATTATGCTTAATTTGAGCCACAAATAAAACATAACATGTCTAATTATCAATGGGTCATTTTAGAACATGACACCATTTGCGTAGCACCAAGCAAACCTTGTTT